GTTTCCTGTTGCTCAGCTGGGTGTCCCCAAAGGCACCAGGCAATCGTCTGAGAAATGGCCGCCCCACTGCCAAGTGGTGGGCAGCGTGGGCGGGGCCGAGAGGGCTCTCTGGGCCACTGTGAGTGGTCTCTGGCAGGGCGAGCTCGGGCAGAGCCTTCACCCTCTCTGCTCCTTGGTTTCCTTGTCTCTGGAATAAAGTAATGTGAGGGCCTGCCTTCTAAGGCTGTGGAGGGCTCTAATGAGGCAGGCGGGTGATCGAGACCTGGCTGCTGCCTGCACCTGACGAGCCCTTGCGGGGTGGGAGCCCTGTGGAGCTGCTACAGAAGGTCGCCCCACCCCTCCCAGAGATTCTGTTTATCTGTCTACCCACCAACCCACCCATTCATCCATCTGCCCATCCAGCCACCCACCCACATATCCATCCACCCATCCATCCTACCATCCAAACACCCACCCATCCATCCACTCACCCAACCACACATCCGTCCACACATCTACACATTGATCTATCCAAACATCCATCCACCCACCAGTCCATCACCACCCATCCACCCAGCCATCCATCCACCCATCTGCCCATGCAGCCACCCATCCAGCCACCCATCCACCCATCCATCCACCCTCCCACCTGTCTGTTCACCTACCCACTCACCCACCCAGAAGCAAAGTTATTGAGTGTCTACTGTGACACTAGCCCATGGAGGAGCCCACGGAGGATGCTGTCCTCGAGGAGCTCACAGCCTGATGGACAGCAGTGGCTACACAGGGCAGCGAGGGTGGTGACAGGACAACGATTGGGTAAGGACCAGGTCTCAAGATGGGAGTGACTGGAAGGTGACTGACCTCCTGAGGTGCAGTGACGCTATACCCCCAAGTAGGCTGTGTCAGTGGCATCTGCTCAGTGGAGCTGGGCTGACCTAGCCCCTCCCCTCTCCTCTCCCACTTCCCGATGAGTCAGGCCTTGCGGACTGACCACAGTGGGACAGTCGTCTTCGGCTGCGTTTTGTGGCATGTCCGTGGCCTCCTCCCTGTGGTCAAGATGTAATTTGTGTAATCCTTGGGAACGGTGTCTGTCAGGGTAAACACTGCTGGGTGTGTGGCCTTGGGAGGGGCAAGGCTGAGGTGGCCCGCAGTGGCCCGGGGCCTGAGCAGGTGGGGACCTGTGCCTTGGGCTGGCTCTGGGCCCCGTGGGGGTCAGCCCCTCAGCCAGCCTTGGTTGTGGCTGGGCAGGACGGTGTCCTGGTGGCCCTTGGGCATCTCAGCCTAGTCACAGACAGACACTTGGCGGTTTCCTAAACTCTCCGTCACTGAGGGCATGGGGTTCCTGGTGGGGCAGGAACGGAACTCCAGCTGCACAGAGGCCAGTGGTCCTCTCCCCGCATCCGTGAGAATTAAAGTGATGGATGGACGTGTCTAAGCACCGGTGTCCGCAGCCCTCTGTGGGTACGCTCCACTGACTCACCTGCAAGGGGCCCGACAGGGCTGCGTTCGCCGGAGAAGCCCGGGGGCCGGGAGACTGACCAGCCCACCCCGCTGCCGCCCGCCAGCTCCGCCCACCCGGCCCCTCTGCACGCACCCCGTCCCGGGAGGGCTGACGTCCCTGCTCACGGCCCCACCTGAGATCCTGCGACGGTGCCAAGAGGGTGTGAAGGTCAGCCCCCTGGGCCTCGGGCCACCACCGCTGCCCCAGCCAGAGGGTCCCCAGGGCCGAGCACTGAGACCCAGGAGGACCCCAAACCTCGCAATCCCGGGAGGACCCCGCCCTCTCAGACTCCAGGCTGTGCTGGGCGGCCTGGTCGGGCCAGGGTTTCTCCAGCCCTCACCAGGGTTAGAGGGAGCCTGGCGTGGACAATCACCGCCCGGGAGGCCGCAGAGAGCGCCCCGTCCTTGGGTTTCCCCAGGGCTCGGTGCCAGCCTGCGCGGCCCCCGCAGGGAAGGACACCCTGGGCCTGCCGGTCCAGCCAGCTCTGGTTGCTAATCCCTGCTCCTGGCTCCAGCGACACACTGTCCCCCGCGTGCCCGGGTCCCTGGGTCCCTGCAGGGAGGACGGTCTCTGAGCCTGGGGCTGGCAGCCCAGGGGCACAGGACGAGGGGCTTTACCCGGGGCCCCCGGGGAGCATCAGGCCCGGGAACCTTGGCTCCCGGTCACCCTCTCGGACCCTCGGGCTGCTTGTCCCTGGATGCCCTTCCACCACGGGGCCCTCGGAACCATCAGGTGGTGTGAGCAGAGCTCCTGGCTCTGGGCGCTACTGCTGTGACATGGAGGTCGTGTCTGCAGAGGAAGAGAGCCCGGGAGGGGCAGGGCCGAGGCTCCCACAGCAGCCGGGCTCTGGCCTCTCGCCGGTCACTGCCCCAGCGGGGAGCCTGCGCCAGGGAAGCGGGGCATCCCATTGTCCCCCACAGGGGGCGGCCCGTTTGTCCAGTCTCTGCTATGTCGAGCTGAAGCTCTCTCACTTGGCCCTGAACCTCGGGGACCACTAGATTAGAATCGTGGCTCCTCCCATGATGTGAGCTGGTCCAGCCTCCTGCTGGCAAAGGCAAAAGCAAATTCAGGGTCCAGTGTGTTTCAGGAGGGAGACAGTGTAGGGAGGACAGGCTCCCTGACCTCAGATTACCCACCGGTGACACGGGTGCGCGCCCAGCGTTGTCAAGGTTTGGGGCCAGCCTGGTTGAGACACCTCGGCCTCCAGGCCTTTCTGGGCTCAGCTGGGAGGGTCTGGGATTCAGCAGAGGCACCAGCTCCGCCTGGGGGCAGGGCCCTCTTCCCACGTGAGCTGTGGCCCAGAAGCACCTGCTCAGGGGCCCTGGCCTCTGCTCTGGGTCCTCCCCACCGTCCCGGGGAGGCTGCGGGGCGGGGTCTGTGCTGGGTCGGGGGCTGCCCGCCACCAGCAGCGGCATCTCTGGTGCCTGCCCGGCCACGTCCGGGCCCCAACCTCATGGCCCTCAGGGACGGCCACTCGCCGCCTCGAGCCAGGCGCCCGGGCCCCAGAGGACGTGATTCCGTTAAAGCGCCCCCGGGCTGGGCTCCCCAAATTCCAATTACATGGAACTGCAGAGGAGGGCTGGGTCTGGGGAAGGAGGGGTTAGATGGCGGGCTGGAGCCGGGGCCCCCGCGAAGCCCAGGGAGCGACGGGAAGGAGTCCGCGCCAAAGCGGGGCGGCCCCTGGACCCCCCGGGAGCCCACACCCTCCCTGCCCTGGGAGCTGGGTGCAGGGAGGGCAGCCCCCACTGCCACCCCGCCAGAGCTCAGGCCCCTGGTCGGGGAGGCTGGGGCCCAGGCAAGGTGGGAGGGGAGATTCCACACCAGGCGGTGATCCGTCAGGGCCCCCTGGGAGACATCTCCCCGGACCGTTGCGGTGCTGGGGCCCTGGACGCCTGGGGTGGGCGCCCTGGGGACCGTGCCACCTGCCAGGACCTGCTTCTGGAAGAATCCATGGCCTGGGCCTGGTTCTCTTAGCGGCAGGGAGGGACCGAGGTCTGCCTTGGGTGTGAGCTGGAATTGGGTAATTGGGGCCGCTCCACCCTGAGCAGAGCCAGCTCTGCCCAGGGAGCAGTAAAAAGATAAAGCTCAGATAACCTGAATCAATATTTCCCCACGGTGGCCCGTGGAGACCCCACAGCTGTTTTCTTGATAACCCGCAAGGCCCCACCCACCCTTCGCCCCTCCCAGGCCCTCCCCGCGCTCTGACAGCCCTGCTGGGCCATATAAGGCCCGGACCCCTGCCCCAGTCGCTCTCCCATACCACCCTCCGGCCACCATGGGGCTGCCACTAGCCCGCCTGGTGGCCCTCTGCTTGGCCCTGACCTGGGCCGAGGGCACGGGGTCCCAGAGAGGTGAGAGCGGTGTGGGCGGGAAGGGCCGGCAGCCCAGAGCCCACGTCCTAGCGGGGAGGGCGAGGTTCTGTTCCTCCGCCCGGGCTTCGGGTGGATGCCCGGGCCAGGCATTCTGCAGCCCCCACGTTGCTGACTTTGGGTGGAGGGAAGGAAGGCTGACTTGGGTTCCCAGCATCCTTTTGAAGGTGGTCGCCCGGCCAGAGTGTGTCCGGAGACAGTCCCCGGGGGACACACGGGGCTGGGCTGCTGTGTGGGGGTGTGCGGGAGGCAGGGGCCGGCCAGGAGGGGCCAGGCGGGGGAGGCCCACCTCCCGGGTATTAGGGGCTTTGGATGTTCAAGGGCAAGATGGCCCTTCTGCAGAGAGGGCTGTTTGGACAGAAAAGACCCTGGGATAGTAGGAGGGGCCATCTCTATCCCAGCTGGGCTGCTGGGGAGAAAGCCGGGCAGGGGGCCTGGCGCCCTGTGGACGAGCAGGGCGGGGCTCCCTCTGAGGG